AAAAGTGTGGTTTTGAATTCTTTATCCAACAGTCTGCTTTCCTCCAATTCTGTCGTTTGTGTCCTGTTTCTTTGTCTCGGCATTTTTTATGCTTCGTTGCGTCGATAGAGTGCCTTTCTGTGCTAAGTGTCCCAATTACCTGAGGTAGACACTCTTGGTGACCCCCTTGTGGGCTTTGTGCACAGTGTTGTTGTAGTTAAGCCTTGATTGTTGTAGTTATCACTGAGGAATTGACCTCCAGGCCAATTGGCTGTGAGAATCAGCTGTGTCTGCAGTGGGAGAACTTCTATGCTGGAGACACCCCTCTGGGGCAAGACTTGCTTCAATGGGGCTTTGGTGCTGAGTCTGCCCTCTGAGTGTGTTCTTTATGTTTCCACGGAGCTGCAAACTGGATGGTCCCACTCTGACCTCTGGGTTTCCTGGCTCTTGGATCTCTAGGGAGGTGCTAATCTAGCCTCTGCCTGAGGCTATCCAGCAAAATCCTCCCTGCAGGCCTTGGGCAGGGCGGGTCTCATGGGATTAACAGGGCGGGGCTAGCAGTTATGGCATCTCCGCTTCTCAGTATCCTGGAAATCCCTGCCAGCCCCTCCAAGAGAAAGCTGCCCTCGAGTTCCGACTGATGCCAGACAGTCCCGCTTCTCCCGTATGAGTCTGGGTCCCTAGAGACTCGTCCGGAACTGGAGCTCAGAGCCTGAGACTCCCTCCGGATTGAAAATGACAACCACGCCCTCAGCCGCCAGCCCTCTCCGCATGCACCTCCGCACCTTAGTATTTTACTTCCATACTGCGCCTCCTCTGAGTCTCGGTATGCTTTTCTCTTTCCTTCTAGTTGTAGAATTTCCACTCAGCCAGCCTTCCTGTGGTTCTGGATGATGTCTGTTCCATCTTTTGGTTGTATTTTTGAAGTGGTTGTTTGAGGCAGCAAACTCTGGTGTTTACCTATGCTGCCATCTTGGTTTCTCCGAGAGAGAATCTCTGGATTTACTTTCTTAGCAACCATACAGCAGTGTTTAACTATAGTCATCATGTTGTACATTACATCCCCAGTACTTATTATAAATGAAAGTTTGTGCCTTTTGATCACCTTCATCCGATTCCTTTCCCCTCACTTTCATAACCAAAAATTTGGTCTCTTTTGCTATGAGTTTGTTTCCAAGTCTTGGCTATTCTATATAATAAATAGCTAATATGCAAATGGTTGTCATGCCCTCACACCATCACGCCATAACAGCTCAGACATTCAACACTGAGGAGAGAGGAATGGGACTAGCCAGGCACAAATGAGCTCACGAGAGAGGAATGGGGACCAGCCAGGCTGTGGGCTGAGAGAGGGACAAGCCGCCTGCCCTGTGGTCCCAGGTGCCAGCAGCCAAGGCTGTGGCATGGGAGGACAAGCTGCCTGCACTGCGGTCCTGGGTGCCAGCACCTGCACCTGCCGCCCATGAGAGGGACAAGCCGCCTACCCTATGGTCCTGGGCACCATCGCCTGCGCCTGTGGCCTGGGTGAAACTGCCTGCACATGGTCTTCTGTGGCTGTGGCTGGCCCGGGAGAAGCCAGCCCAGGTCCTGGGTGACTGTGGCTGGCCAGAGGGAGGGAAGCCCGGGTCCCAGGTGCTTGCGACTGGCCAGAGGAGGGAATCCTGGGTCTTGGGTGCAGGGTGAGGCAGAGGCAGTTAGGGGCGATCAGGCAGGCAGGCAAGTGAACGGGTTAGGAGCCAGCGGTCCCAGATTGTGAGAGGTAGTCGGACATCCCCGAGGGGTTCTGGATTGGAGAGGGTGCAGGCTGGGCTGAGGGGACCTCCCCATCCCCCACGCCATGCATGAATTTCGTGCACCGGGCCTCTAGTTGTAAATAATGCTGCAATGAACATGGGGGAACAGAGGTCTCAACAGTGATTTTGTCCCCTTTGGATATATACCTAGAAGTGGGATTGCTGGGTCATATAGTAGTTCCATTTTTAATTTTTTGAGGAAACTCCATATTGTTTTCCATAGTGGCTTCACCAGGCAATCCCACCAACAGTGAGTACACAAGGGTTCCCTTTTCTCCACATCTCGCCAACATTTATCATCTCATCTTTGTTATGACATTCTAATAAGTGTGAGGTGATCTCATTATGGCTTTAATTGACATTTTTCTGATGATTAGTGATGTTGAACATCTTTGCATGTACCTGCTGGCCACTTAAATATATTCTTTGGAAAAATGTCTATCCAGGTCCTTTGCTCATTTCTAATTGGATTATTTGTGTGTGTTTTTGTTATTGAGTTTTTTTGTTATTGAGTTTGTCAATTTATTAGATGTTTAACTCATTGTATTATGAGCTCTGAATTATTCAACCACCCTCTTTAAATATTTTGAATATTAACCCCTTATCAGATATATGATTAGCAAATATTTCCTGCCATTCCATAGATTGGTTTTTCATGTTGTTGCTATTTCCTTTGCTACGCAGTTTATTTTGATATAATTCCATTTATTAATTTTTGCTTTTGTTTCTTGTGCTTTAGGTTGACCTTTGTCAAGGAGCTTTTCCCCTCTTTCCTTCAGGTCTTACATTTAAGTCTTTAATCCATTTCAAATTAAATTTTGTGTTTTGTAAGATAGGGCTCTTGTTTCATTCTTTTACATGTGAATATCCAGCTCTCCCAGCACCATTCATTGAAGAGACTGTCTTTTCTCCATTGAATGTTCTTGGCTCCCTTGCCAGATATTAGTTGAGTGTATATGCAGGGGCTCTTGATTCTGGGCTCTCTATTCTGTCTTTCTTATGCTTATGAATTTCTTTAAAAATTATTTTTAGAGAAAGGGGGAGAGAAAGAGAAAAAAAAACACTGACTTGTTGTTCCACTTATTTATGCATTCATTGGTTGCTTCTTATATGTGCCCTGATTGGGGTTCAAACCCACAACCTGGTGTATGGGGAAAACACTCTAACCATCTGAGCTACCTGGCCAGGGCTATGCTAATGATTTTTAAGTTCTCCTTGTGCCTCCCATCACCTTAGTAATATTGCTTAAGGGATCAGGAACAATCAATTTCCTGCAATAGGCATCTCCACTGTACTAGTTTCAACTTCTATGCAGGTGCTACCTCCCTGGCAGTCTGTTTTAAAGTTAGTGTCATATCTTTAAGGAGACTGAGCCTGAGCGCCAGGTAATTATTTACTCAGCTGGGTGAGTGGCAGTCAGTGGGAACAAGGCTAAATATCATGCATGGAGAGTCCCAACCACCAAGGGATAGTAGATGACCAGGATGGGATAGGAGGGCTGGCCTGTGACTGAAGGATGCCAACTCCTGGTCCCATAGGATGCAGCGGAATCTGAAGATGGAGATGCTAGCTGGATGTGGAGCTGGAATGTGCCAGGTGGTGGTTACCTGTCCCATGGAAATGCTCAAGATTCAGTTGCAGGATGCTGGGCGCTTAGGTGAGACCTATCCCAACTTCACATGGAATCAATAAAGGCTATAATCAGAATAGATTTTTACACATTTGCACCCATTTGCTAGTCTGTGTGACCCAATCAGATTTCTAGGTTAGTATAAATTTTTATTTTATGGTTACCATTCTAGATTTTAACACTTCCAGCTCTAGAACAAAGAGCAGAAATGAGAATATTGATTTGGGAAGGTCAGAAGTCTCACACTAATACCTCTATCTTATTGCCTTAACATTTAGTCTTGTTTTCCTAAGTATCTTAAGAAATTTGTCAATGGCTTGCTCATGAACACTTCAGTAAATAGAAGTTCTATTATATTATGCTATAGAAGTGAGGCTTTAGTGGGAATGCATAAAAAGAACCCTCTCTATCCTTTTGGTTTTCTCTGGAAGAGAAGTTTGGTCTTTTGCTAAATCCTGGTCCTCTCAAACAGTTAGAGTGGAATAGGTACCAAAGCATATATTAAAAGCAATGATTGGGCGTCTAATAGGAGGCTAACCCTGGTGGGGTGGGACAGGGCTAAACCACAATGTCTGAATTTAATAAGCCAACATGTCATGTGCCAGGTCTTCAATAAATGTGTATTCCCTTTCCCTTCTCAATACAACTGTGTACACGTGCTGTGCTTTTCAGGTGGATCAGTCCAGTCTAAAGCAAATAAAACTGCAGAAAGAATACAGTTCAGGCACTGGAAAGCCCTCACTGTTTTGCTTTGCAGAGTAAAAAGCTTTGTAATGTTTTGTTTTTCAACTTGGATAAGAAGTTTTAGTATTCCTAAAACATTTTAAAAGAAGAGAAAGCTAGGATATGGGTGAAATAATTATGTGCACCTAAAGGATGGGGAAAATAATGTTCATTGATTAGAACTGTCTGAGGCCTGCAGCCCTAGATTATTAGCATAAGACAATATGCTGTCATTAGCTTCTTAGTATGAAATGCTGCCCTGATGGATATCAAACAAAACTGGGACATTAAATTGCTTTCTTTCAGTAAGAACTTATAATCTATGCAAAGCTTCTCACACACTGAGAATCAATATTCACACAATTTCAGTGCATTGAATCTTGTGGTCATTAATGGGACTCAACCACATTTGAAATGCTTGTATTTAATATGCTCAGGAAAAAAAGAATTCCATTCTATTATTAGATGTTTAACTCATTGTATTATGAGCTCTGAATTATTCAACTAAAATGGGTTGACATCTCAAAAATAAAATTCTACAAAATGATGCAGGGAATAAAAAGGACATGATCACCTAATCTTAGAATGGTAAAGAGAGGAGGCTCTGTTGAAGTCTGATTTTTTTTTTCTTGTTGTATTTTTGAGAGAGAGGGAGAGAAAAAGAGAAACATTAATGGGTTGCCTCCTGCATGCACCCCAACTGGGGATTGAACCCACAACCTGAGTGTTTTCTGACCAGGAATAGAATCTGTGATGCGATCTTTCGGTGCATGGGATCATGCTCCAACCAACTGAAGGAGATAGTGTTTCTTTAAATCCTCATCCAAGGAGTGAGGATATTTTTTACCATTGATTTTTAGAGAGTGGGGGGGTAGGGGGATGGGAGAGAAAAAGAGAGAAATATCACATTGATTGGTTGCCTCCTACATGCTCCCTCACTGTGGGCAGGTACATGGCCTTGACCAGTAATCAAATCCTCGACCCTCTGGTGTGCAGGCCGAGGCTCTAACCACAGAGCACATGGGCTGGAATTGAAGGAGAACTTTTAAACAAACAAAAAGAATTTGCTGCTTTACATTAGGCAGAAGACATATGGGATTCCTACATCCCAAAGACCCAACAGGATGAAACTATGTAAATAGGTTCAGAGATGGTTTAGAAATGAAAGACAAATTAAAAACACAGGAGAATGAAGAACTGCGGAATTGGGAGCCATACTCTTGCAAGGGTTTTGCAGCACCTGTTGGGGCCTAGTTTGTGATGGGAAGCCTGTCCTTTCCCTTTCGGCAGTCCATCACCATGGTTCAGCCTCAGCACCTGCCTCTAGGTCCTACACCATTGGATCAGCTTCCACACACAAGTGTCCATCGGCCACTGTCATTGCCTGGGAGCTGCTTCGAACCCAGGGCCTGGCTGGTCTCTATAAGGGTTTGGGTGCCACTCTTCTCAGGTAAGACTTTCTTCCCAAACTTGGGACAGAGGGCCCCAAGTGAATAGGGAGAGGGAAGAGGACCAGAGAGATTGCTACCCCAACCTGCCTGTTTTCAAATATCTCTATGCTTCATATTTTGTCCACAATTGGGCAGGATTACAGACTGGGTATCTGAAAGACTACTTTCAGGACCCTTTTTCAGTGGTCAGGCCCACATGACTATAGGGTGTTCTGTGGCCCAAAGGCACCTAGAATGTACGTATACACAGGAGTGTGGGTCATCTATAAGTACATGAGTGTATATATTCCATTTTACTGTGCTATTGGGGGCAGGGGGCAACATTTTTTTTAAAGAGGGAGTTCAATTTTTAAAAAAAATTTTTTTATTGATTTTAGAGAGGCAGGGAGAAACATCAATTTGTTATTTATGCATTCATTGGTTGCTTCTTATATGTGCCCTGCAGCCTTGCCTGGCCAATGTGGCTCAATAGTTGAGCATTGACTGATGAACCAGGTGACGGTTTCGATTCCTATTCAGGACCCATGCCTGGATTGCAGGCTCAATCCCCAATATGGGGTGTGCAGGAGGCAATCAATGTTTCTCTCATTATTGATGTTTCCCTTTCCCTCTCTGAAATCAATAAAAACATTTAAAAACAACACCCGCAGCCTTGGCATATTGGGATGATGGTCAATCCAACTGAGCTACCTGGCCAGTGTAGGGGTTAATTTTCTAGTCTCTGGGCAACAAATGAACTTCACCTTCCTGCCCATCCCCTCAACACTTACCTTATAGCTCTTCACCAGCCACTTGCTCAGCTTAGTAACTCTTCCCTTAGCCTGCCTACCCACTTTTATGGAACACACCACCAGTCTTTGAATCTGCATCTGGCTCATTAAGCTGCAGGTGCTGGGAGAGCAGAGGAAAGAACTGGGATGGTTGGGAAAGGCAAATCAAGCTGATCTCTTATGCTATCACCCCACATTATCATGGGTGCCAGAGCAGGAATACGGAATTGTAGGCTTGTCTCTGACTTATCTTGAGGTCACAGCCTCACTGTATGATCTTGGGTAGAAGCCCCAGGAGGGCAAGAAGCTCAGTGTTTTTCTTCCTCTCCTGCAGAGATATTCCCTTCTCCATCATCTACTTCCCTCTGTTTGCCAACCTCAACAACCTTGGTTTCAACGAACTTACTGGGAAGGCTTCCTTTGTTCATTCCTTTATGTCAGGCTGTGTTGCAGGTTCCATAGCGGCTGTCATAGTAACACCTCTGGATGGTAAGTGCCTCTAGTGTTGACTTGCTTTACAAATTAGTTACCTGTAGAGTCATTTATAGGGTAAGTAGTAACACTGCACTTTTAGGATAGAGACAAAACAGCTCCAACTCTTGGGTCATAACCTGTGGCCACTGTTAGATCCACCCACAGAACGTGGGGTCTAGTTCTTATCACTGACAAATCCCCTTACTTTCTAGGTACTGATTTCACTAGCTTTTTGTCCCCCAATAGAGTTGTGAGCATCAGCTATAAATGTTGCCGATACTTTAAAATTGAAGGCTAAAGGCAGGAGCTACACACTATGAGACATTGCTTCCTCTATCTTTAGACAACAGTCAGCTCCTCTAACACAGGTGGATCTTCCCATAGCATGAGTGAACTAAGGGATCGTGTAGTTTCTAATTCCTTCAATTACATACCCCACATTGGTAGAGATAGCCTCAGGATTCAGTTTTATGTATGCTGGCTATAAAAGGAAATCTGACCATTTAATGTTAAGAAGAGAACACCAAAAGCAAAATGTTCCCTCCTAATTTTAACGTTTGTTTTAGTTTTGAAAACTCGAATTCAAACGCTCAAGAAAGGTCTGGTTGAGGACAACTACAGTGGGATCACTGACTGTGCCAGGTGAGAGCCCTGTATCCCTTTACAGATGTGGCTGGGACAGTTCCCTCTATGTTGGTGTGCACCTAGACTCAAACTACAGAACAATTTTATCACTACACTACACTGAGGTCTGTATTTCTTTGAATTCTGTTGCTTTCCCTTACCTCTCAACAAAAGCAGGTTGTACTTAGAGCTTTCTTTGCATCCCTACAGCGTCTTTCTCCCAAAGTCTAGCAAATTGAGCCAATTTTCCATGGCCTGGACCCAACTGCTTAGTAACCAAACTGCATAACACATAATGGGGGAGGCATGGCTCCCACATTCCTGTAGAAAGTGACACGTGCTTTCATAGAAAAGATGTACAAACGTCAGAGGAGAGGATGTCACTGAGCGCTGCTTGGTGTGCTTCTGCTCATTCAGCTCACAGGACTCTTCTTTCTCCCTAGGAAACTCTGGATTCAGGAGGGACCATCTGCCTTCATGAAAGGAGCAGGCTGCCGAGCCCTTGTCATAGCCCCTCTCTTTGGGATTGCCCAAGGTGTCTACTTCATTGGTATTGGAGAACATATCTTAAAGTGTTTTGAATAAATATAGCTGGAATTCAGGTCCCTTCACTGGCTTCCATCTCTCTACCCACCATGTATTTTGTCCTATAACTTGTAGTACTACCTAAGTCTCAGAAGAAACAACCTTATTCTTATAAGCAAGGTGGCTACAGCTCTATTCTGCCTCAGAAGCCCCTAACCAACTACCTTTCAACAGAAGTAGTACATGCTTTGGTTGTATTAACTGTAGGACCTTAACAGAAAGTAAAGATAGAAGGGTTGTTTCTACATTTTACATTTCTATTTCACACCTCAAGCTCAGTATACTTGAGTCATTTGGAGGATTCAGTTTTGTTATTCTGAGCTAAATAGCTTATGGTTAGTCCTAGCATTCATTTTGGGCAAAAAGAGAATCAAAAGTTCAAGGGGACCATATAAGTCCTCAAAGTCAGCATCTAGTTTAAAACCAACCAAATCCTTTCAAATTATGGATGGCTAAGGGATAAGGCCAACTAAAACCAAGTAGCCAGGCCAAAGTCAGGGCAGCCATCCTGCCCCATTTCCTCCTTCTGAAAAACAGGCTCTAAAAGACCAACTAGAGGCTCGGGGCATAAATTCGTGCACCAGTGGGGGTTCCTCCGCCTGGCCTGCGGAATCAGGCCGAAACCAGCTCTCCGACATCCCCCAAGAGGTCCTGGATTGTGAGAGGGCACAGGCCAGGCCAAGGGACCCCACCGGTGCATGATTGGGGCTGGAGAGGGACGCGGGAGGTTGACCAGCCTGGGAGGGACTGCGAGAGGGCTCCAGGGTGTGTCTGGTCCATCTCACTCAGTCCCGATCAGCCAGACCCCAGCAGCAAGCTAACCTACTTGTCTGAGTGTCTGCCCCTGTTGGTCAGTGCACGTCATAGTGAGCGACTGAGCAGCCTTAGCATATCATTAGCATTTTATGCTTTGATTGGTTGAATGGATGACCGGACAACTGGACACTTAGCACATTAGGCTTTTATTATATAGGATGTCCATGGAACACTGTCTGAAATACAGTTGAACTAGTTATAATCTCGTCTTATAATTAGCAAAGGAAGCAGACAGGCTGCGATGAATAGTCTGTCTTCTACCTTTCTGTGTCCATTTCAAAACTGGCATGAAAATGAGTGGGAGGAAGAAAAGTGTTTAGGCTTAACACACAGTTAAACGCCCCCCTTCCCCTTGCAAAAAAACCCCCCCCACACCTTAGTTTCTTTTCTGACACTGCCAAAGCTAGTAAAACTATTTCCTCAATTAAAGCTGTCAAGCCCTCTAGAGGACAGATAATACTGAACACCTTATGTGTAAGTGTGGAAGACTATAAGGGGCTGAAAGGAACATAAAAGGAACATTTCTGAGTGAGGATCTGGTAAAAATGAGCAGAAAGTGCCATAGGACCCAGGGAGGGTTAATGGTTTCAAGTACCAACAGATGTCAACTGGCAAATGCTACCGAAATTTGGATAATGGTGTCTTTTTTAGATAACCACACTAAGAATTTTACACTCTCAAACCACACACTTAGAGTGTCTTGCATAATAAACTACAATTAAATTCACTTAAATGTTTTGTTTTAATAAATAAAGCATCATGGCTTAGATTTTAAATCACATATACAGATAAGGAGCATTTCTAAGCCCAAACAGGTGACAGTGAAGCTACTACTGCTGGAAGGAATGCACGCCCCACGTGTATGTTAAGCCTAAAGAGCAGAGACTTACTAGCAGAGCATACCATACACATAACCTCTAGACTAGATAACTAGAAGCAGAGGAAGATCACAAGTTTGGGTAAAGTCCATGCAACAACTACCTGATTTCTTCACCTTCATGCTGCAGAACCAACTGAAAGTTGTGTTACTTTTAGATAAGCTAGAAGTAGGTTCCCTGATCATATTAAATGAAACTTTCTCCCTTTTTAACAATTAGGTTAAGGGCATTAGTATAGAACGATATCCACGAGTAAATACAGAGTATTAGAATAGCAAAGAGGAAGCTACATAGATCATCTTGCTTCTTCAAATATCAGAAACTTCTACATCATAGCAGTGCATGAATTCCACCTCCCAAAGGCTTAGTCCAAAAACTTCCTGTTGGCATTTGCACCGAACAAGGCTCCTCGTACTTCTGGCATCATCTGTAAAGAAATGAGATTTTTAATAAATAAGTGTTTTGTCAACTGGAGAACTTGGGAAGAACTGCACATCTTTTTAAATTTTTAATGAACTTATTGAGGTGCCATTGGTTAATAAAATTATATAGGTTTTAGGTACACAATTCTATGATATATTATCTGTATATTGTACTGTGTGTTCACCACCCAAAGTCAAGTCTCCTACCATCATCATATATGAAGAACTGTAGATCTTAATAGAGATGGCAAGTCATGAACCCCTAAATGGCTGGGAAGGAAATCACAAAGCTAAAAGCATCAAATCTGTCCTTTACTTATCCAAAGCACTATCACAGAATCCTTGATGAGAAACTTAACCAATAAAAAATTTTGGGTTAAGACTAACTGCTTTAAAGGAGACAAAGAAGAAGAAGAAAAAAAACTAAGAAACTAAACGTGGCCTGGCTGGTGTCACTCAATTGGTTGAGCATCATCCTGTGCACCAAAGGTAGCAAGTTCATTCCCGGTCACAGCACATACCCAGGTTGTGGGTTCAATCCTTGGTTAGGGTGAGTGCAGGAGGCTACTGATCTTTCTCTTTCTCTCTTTCTCTCTCTCTCTCTCTCTCTCTCTCTCTCTCTCTCTCTCTCTCACCCCCACTTTCTTTCTCTCTAAAATCAATAAAAACATTAAAAACAAAACAAAAAATTCAAGGCATTACTGTCTAAGGCTTCTGTTATGTTGTGATGGAAGAAGAGCCTGTTAACAGTTGTATCTCATCATAATATTCTGTATCACCTACATTCTTTATTTCAAAAAACATTTATTGAATGTCTATGTATCAAGCAGAAAACATACAATGCAAGCTGTGCTGAGGTACTTGTTATTTATTGCAAGTGAAAATCCTTAGGATTTAACCTCAAACTTCTAAGGCTGTGTGTGTGTTCAACAGAGTAGTCACTAGCCATATGTGGTTGCTGTGCATTTGAAATGTGGCTAGTGCATATAAGGAACTGAATTTTTAATTTTACTTAATTTAAATATCCATTTGTAGTGAGTGGCTACTCTATTGGGTAACAAAGCTGTATGGTTTAAGTTACAAGAAGATGATATACTCAACATCAAAGTGCTTAGCTCTAAGACAAGTTAGCAGTAGACCACCACTACTGGGAGATGCCCAGCACGTTGAAATAATTGAAATTTCCTGCCTTGTTTCCAAATAATTTATTTGTGCAAACATGGGAATATTTGAAGAGCCAACAGCCCACGGTAATTTCTTTAAACAAGTATTTACTTTAGTTGCCATAATTTTTGCTGGAGAAAGAACTTTGGTCAGCATCTCCACTTGCAGTAAATGTATACATTATTACTGTAAATGTAAACAAAACCCTTTTTCTGACTTCAAATCCCCCTCATAAAAATGGTACTGACTCAGTCAATGCCACTAAATGCTTAATCCCATACCTTTTAAGAAAATGTCAAAAAATATGGATACAGCAACAAATCCCAAACACCAGTGAATGGATGTGTTCTCTGTATCACTTCAAAGTAACAGACCAACTAACAAAAGTATTCCCACACTCACCTGCTGAGCTATGAGATCCAGTCGGCTTTCTAGGGTATTGGAAACTTTTATTTTACGATCCCCATTATAGATCTCAACTCCACCAGCTCTACAAAGAACAGGGGAAATAATTTTTATAGATTTCAGGAAGATAGGAAAGTTTTGGGGTATGGGATGTCTAAATACTACAAGGGGCCAAGCCGGTATGGCTCAGTGGTTGACCATTATGAACCAGTAGGTCAGGGTTTGATTTCTGGTTGGAGCACATGCTCAGGTTATGGGCTTGATCTCCAGTGTGGGGCATGCAGGAGGCAGCCAATCATGATTCTTTCTTATCACTGAAGTTTCTATCTCTCTTTCC